TGGGGTGGGGTGTGGGTGGAGGGTGGGAGGGGTGAGGAAACAAGTCACCAGATCTGGGACTCAAACCGTAGTTGGCCATGTGGGAGTCCAGCACCCTTAACCACCACGCCACCTGTTGGCCTCTAGACTTTAATTTTAAAGAGCAAAAAATGAAAACCTCACATGTGCTGTGTGAAAGCAGTATTTCACAGCTTAAGTTCTGTATCCATCTCAGGATGGGCCTGGCCTGGGTTTGTGCCTTTCCTAAATGAAATGGGCAAAGGCACCAATTAGCACAATAAAAGAGAGGGGCTTGAGATCCCAGCGAATACTTTACCTTAAAAAAAAAAAATTAAAAGTCACAGGGAGACACAGTGAGACAGAGAGAGACAGAGAGAAATGGAGAGGAGACGACAGAGGTATCCCTACCCACTAGAAATGAATCTGGAGGGGAGGTCTCAGCAGAAAATAATTTTTGGTCAAGGAATGCAATATTTCACAGCTCAAGTTCGGTATCCATCTCCTAAAATTTTTTGAAGTCTTGAGTTTTAATATTTGAGAAAAGCAAAATAAATTGAGACTCTCAGGAGCCAAGAGTATTTAGGTAAACTTTTAAACTAGTATATATCCCCATTTTGTTTTAATCAGTTAATTATCTCAGAGAAAGGGAGGGAAGGAAGAAGAGAGAAAGAAAGAGGAAAGAAGATGGGCATCCCCAACAGGGTCTTCATGTCACGGTCCACCCCTACTCAGCCAGCCAGGTTCATGGGTGCATGTGTGTGTGTTGCCAGCGTGTACAGGAAGATGAACCTGTAAACACTACATTACTGTTGCTCCACTGTGGCTGGCCTACTTCCCCCTTTTTTAAAAAAACAAAGAAAAATTTCACATTCATGTGTTAGTGTTTTTTTCCTTTATGGTAATTGTAAGTGAAGTCATTAGATCTTGCACCATTGCTTAGACAGTGTTGCTGATTTAATCAACATCTATTCTGATGCTTTTGTTCAACTCCCCTTTTGTATTTGAAACACCAAGTTTAGCAGCAAGACTTTCAAAAAATTGTTTAACTTTCTTGACTATAATTTCAATTTTGTAGAGGAAACTCATACTCAGAAAACCTGAAGGCCCAGTGAATAAACCAAACTAACTCCTTAGCACACCCCAGCAGCAGTCTCTGCTGGACTCTCCCTGCTCTGGCAGAATTCCCAGCCAGATTCAGTGATCCTCTTAGGCCTTTTGTCACTTTCTCCATGCACTTTTCTTTTAATATAGTTAAAAGAATACTGTTTGTGAAAGATGAGAAAGTTTGCCAGTGCACCCTTCTATAAGTCCTGTGTTTGTTTAGTCTTGATTCTATATTTAATTCAGTGCTGGCGTTCATCCTTTTGCCAGTGTCTCTATCCTAATTCTTCATTTGATTTGTCTCTTTATTTTTGTTTTTTCATTGTCCATGGGAAGAATTTATGTGGATTTTTTTAAAAACTATTTTTTGCCATAGGGCATGTTCACTCGTTGAAAGGGTGGGTGAGAGAGAAGGCACTCCTCCCCACCGGAAGATGACCATGCCATGGTCCCTTCTCTTTTAGTCTCCCCTCAGGATTTTGGGGATACGTGCACACGTGCCTAGTGTGTTTTTCAAGCTGGTGGGTCCAGGACCACACCCACAGGGTTGACCATGTGAGATCTGGCTGCTTTAACCACCATACCACCTAACCAGCCCTAAAAGTTATTTTTCTTTTCCAAAGCAAAAAGTAAATTCACTGAAAAAAGAGGAGTGATTTTTCATTTTTTGCAAATCTCCTTAACATGACGCTTAAAGAAAGCGTCTACATTTATCTATTTGCAAAGTCACATGCAGGGTAGCCTCTGGAAAGTGCCACTGTATATTTGTGAGATAATACAAGTGAGAAAGGCAAATAACATTTTAGCATTTTTAAAAAGTAGCTCTGAATTTGTGCACCCTCTATAAGGTCCTCACATCAAATTTTCAGAACGGCTACTCAATAGTAATGGTTGGATTTTTGTATTTTAGATCACAAGTTTAGATAGTTAATTTAGTTATACTGCCCAGTTCATAGCATTTGAGTGTCACTGGTATGTATAAGAGCCCTTTCATTATTTTTTATTTATTCCCATTCATACCCATTCTTCTCTTTCCCACAGTAAATAGCCAGCTTAGTATATTAATGTGCATCTTAAAAAAAAAAATTCCAGAAGATGTGTGTACTCACTGGAGAGAGACAAAGAGACTGAGGAAAGTGAGAAAATACCCCCCATGGGATTGGTCACGCTGCAGTCCCGACTTTTCCATCTCTCCCTCCTTGTGGGATTTTAGGTACCCCTGTACATGTGCCTGCCATATTTTCAAGCTGCTGGGCCTGGAACTTGAATCACACAGCCCAGCCAATGTGGGATCCATCTCACATAATCATCAGGCCATGCACTGGCCCAATCTGTCTTTTTGATAACTTATTATTGTAAAAATTTATTGTTTTGTGTCTATATATTTTACTATATGAAAGTGATGTGGTAATAATGCTGTGGTTCAGTTTCTTTTTATTCTGCACTGTGTTTTTAAGGTCCTTTCAAACTACTTGCCTATGCCTTTAGCCCATTGCTTCTGCTTAGTGCACGATGTGCTGTGTGTCCGCAGTGTCTCACCTGTCTTCAGCCCCCAGTGAGGAATCCGCGTTGCTTCCCACTTCCCGCAGAGCTCTACCTGTCCCCTCGTAGGCCTGTGTGAGGGTTGGTTTGGGAACATAACAGGAGGGGAATGGCCAGATGATAGGATAGGTGAACGTTTTACAGGACTCCAGAGGGCCAGAGGTGTGTGCCTGGCGTCCTTAGAAAGATCATGGGGCACAGAACCAGGCCTTTCCCCCAAAGCTTTAGCTTTGTGGATCGTGTGTTAACACTGTGCTGCTGCATCTAGCCTAGTTTTAATTTTTGATTCATTTGGTGCCCAACTTCATACACGGTGGTAGGTTTGTTTGCTTGCTTGTTTGTTTATTTATTTAATAGTCCATTATTATGATTTTAAAAACAAGATTATGATTTTAGGGGACAGAAAGAAAAGAGGAAGTAGTTGGGGACCAGCAGTTAGCATAATGGCGATGTCGCTGGACTCCCATGTAGTTGACCATGGTTCGAGTCCCGGACCCAGTGGCTTAAACTCACGCCGGGCGTGTGTGCGTTCATGCCCAAGAGACCAAGAGGAGAATGGAAAAGGGACTGTGGCATGACCATCCCCCTTGGGAGGTGATTTCTCGCTTTCTGTCTCTGTCTTTCTCTGTCTTTCTGGCGAGTGCATGTGCCCTATAGCAAAAGACCTCTCCATAAGAAAAGGGGAAAAAAAAAGAAAGTAAAGAGAAAGTGGGTTTGGATTTTGCATGGGGTTTTATAGTCAGGGATAGTCCTACCCTGTTCCCACTACCATGTCTCCTGGGAAATTGTTCTACAGATGTCACTAAATTTGTCAAAACACTGAAGATTATATCCAGATGTGTTTCCTTAGAATCAGAACCAGCTTATTATATTGTTACAACTTTTTGTAATTGGTGATTAACATTGAGCATATTAAGTAATTTTCTTTGACTGCATAGGTAACTAAGCTCCCCCCCCCTCCTTAATTCTTCCTTTTGAAGAATTACTTCAAGTGGTTTGTGAAAGATTTGATAGTGGCTGTCCTAAAAGTTTTTTTTTTTTTTTTTTTTTTTTTTTTTTATTTTATTGG